TGCCATGGGTCTATAGAAATATACAGAACATTACCTGTTGTAGATTGGTTGTCTTGATACAGTGTTTAGGTCCCTACTACGAAATTGCCGATAGACCCCTAGAATCCAGAGATGACATTTAAAATAACACATGTGTAAATCTTTGCAAACTCATCTGTTTACGACCTTTACATCCGTTGGTTTACAATTATTGTTTAGCTTAAGAAAACATGAATATAAAAAAGGAAGATTTAAAGAGATTTGCAAATGTATAGCATTATAATTCATTTTTAGAAAATCCGTCTGAAAATAGAGAAAAGATGCTTTTACAAGCTTATAAGAAATCATATTCTCCCAGCGAATAATTTTTTAAAATATAAAAAATGAATCATTTCACCCCAAGCAAGGCAAGAATGCTACTAGTACGCAGGGCGTTACATGGAGTGAACGTGAGATGAAATAATAAGTGAAGGGAGTATCGAGGAAAGGACAAAACTTGAATGGCATTCAAGACGATCAGTGATGGTGATTGACGTTGCAGTTAATTTTTTGAAAATTGGAGTTACCAGGGAAGAAAGTAAATAGAGGAGAGTTCCACAGGCGGGAAATAGGAGTTAAGAAACTGTTGGAGTAGAAGTTGCATTTAGATATTTCAACAGTAAGCAGGTGGGATTTTGATGCTGAAAAAGGGTGAGACCTAAATGCCAATCTTGTAGCACGCTTAAATTCATGTCGTCGAAACACCAGGGAAAAGGGTGGGACCTAAATGCCAATCTAGTAAGATGCTTAAATTCATGTAGTCGGGACCTAGAGAAAAAGGATGAGACCTAAATGCCAATCTAGTAGCACGCTTAAATTCATGTAGTCGGGACACCAGGGAAAAAGGGTGGGATTTAAATGCCAAACTAGTAGCAAGCTTAAATTCATGCAGTTGGGACCCTCAGAGAAAAAAGGGTGGGTCCTAAATGTCAATCTAGTAGCACGCTTAAATTCATGTAGTCGGGACACCAGGGAAAAAGGGTGGGACCTAAATGCCAATCTAGTAGTAAGCTTAAATTCATGTAGTCGGGACACCAGAAAAAAAAAGAAGCTCGTCAGATCAGTTGGCATGAAAATATTTGTAGAAAATACAGAGTGAGGCCACGTCACGTCAGTGAGAAAGAGACTGAAGCCGAAATGCCAAGTCAAGATCGATTACATTACAAATCCTTATGTGGATTTTGGCAAGAACGTCGAGATGACTAACAGGAGCACCAGACCAAATATGGCAGCAGTATTCAATGCACGACCGAATGGTAGATGTGTAAATGAACAAAAAGGTCTCTGACGGGAAAGATTTCCTGACACATAGACAGAAATTCTATTTCATGCTATTGTAAACAATCCTAAAAAGCTCCTTAATAATTACTGTGAATCAAAAAAATGACTTGAAATTAAATTCTGACGGGCGACGAGAATATATTTATCGCCCATTGTTTTGCGTTCATTTGTAAGAAAATTCTCCTGTATGGCGACCTCATTGTAATGCATTACAAGTTTGAAGAAATAACATTTAATACTACGAAATTGTCTGTCATTTTATCCTCTCCTGCCAGTTAAATAAAAGCTTCTTTTTTTTTTTTTTTACTAATTCTCTTGTTACTGATTTTAAAAACATCAACTAGCTACTTTTACAGCTAGGTAAATTAGACACTTCATTTAATATTCTCTAAAATAGGAGATTTCGTTCAAGCCGACGCAGAGAACAGCCATTTAAAAATAAAATATACGAGCACCGCCATTTAAAAATTAAAAATACGAGGTTAGGTAAGAATGACCCGCGCTTTGTCCATAACATATCTTTACTTTTGCACACTGCTTCTACACATGCATGCTTATAGCTGGAACTATTGTGGTCAACTGATCGATGTTTGAGATTGTCCGCTATTGTTTTCTTGTTGCTGTTACAGTGTAAACATTGCCGCTCCTCTATCAGTGTGCAGTAAGTAGGAACAATGAGCATTGATTTGAATCTGTAGAGCACATTCTGCATCATGAATGGGAACTCGCTATTTCGCAATTATCATCTGATGAGCGAGCTGAAACGGTGGAAGTTGACAATCACCCTGCCCCTTCTCCGGGCGTCACGTTTGTCCGACCATTTTTTAAATTTCTCAATCCACTAATACACGATTCTACGTGGCAGTACACTGTCGTCATATTGTGTTAAAAGCTTTAGATGAATTTCAGCTCCTGAAACACGTTGCGACTAGAGAAATCGGATCGTTGCTCTTTGTTCCTCCTAGTTGCACACTGCTAGCGCAGCGGCCATGTTTACACTGTAACGACAACAGAAAACTAGCGCGATCAACCACTTGAAGACATTTTTTTTCATCCCGTAACTCGTAGGGGCACAGTGTGTACAGCAGTCACAGTAAAAGTGGTGCTTCTTTGGCAAGATAGCCTGACGGAACTCAACCCTTTGAATTCAGAGGTTTTACTAGACTGGTTGCTACTCAAGGCTATAGAACAGTCTGTTCTGGTAGTTGCCTATTGCTTGGTGAGAGGTGAAGAGGATTAATACCACAATAGTACCAATTATGAGCACGCATGCGTAGAAAGCAGCGTGATAAACTTAATGCTATGTTATAGTGAAAGTGATGATTGCTTTTGACTTGCTATCGTGTTAGCAATTAGATAATATTAATAGCTCCATTGAGTGTTGAATTTAATAAAGTAATGTTTTGATACCAAATGAAGAGAAAATTCTTGAATGTATAATTTATTTTCATAGCAAGCAATAAAAAGCGGATATATTCGAAAGTTTTTTAGGAAGATGAAGAACAAAAACTTTCTTTCTTACGTTTTCTTGGAAACAATAAAAAGCGAACGCCTTTATATTCCTAATAAACCTCGGAGAACAAGTTACAAAGTATACAGAAGTTACCGGCATTCCATAGGTCTCTGCTAGCCGATGAAGGAAAATATTGTGCCGTCCTACGCTGAGTAACTTTCTTTCTCAACGTGTCATTAGGCTGTAATATTCAGTCTAGGGGAGATCGTACCAATTTCAATTTCAAAGGGTATTCGCAGGAATATCGTTACAGGGCGAATTGCAACATAATCCATTGTTTTTTAATTATGCTGAGTATAGAGGAAGGGTACAGTTAGTCTAAGTAATGTGACGTCGTCCCCTGGTCGCAGCGCCAACTGTGACGTCCTATCCTGGTCTACCACGGCACCAATTGTGACGTCTTCGCCGCGGCGCCAGCTGTTCGCTCCTCGCTGCTCCGTCCGGGTGTCGCTGCTCCAAACGTGACGTCCGCCTGTCGCGTCAGTCGTGTTGTCTCGTCATGTGACGACCAACTGGCTTGGTATCGAACGCGGCACCCAAATGTGACGTTCTAACCTTTTGGTGATTCGGGTGGGAATCTGGTTAGATTTGATATTGGCCTCGTCGTTCCCAACTCGCTTCCAACGCCTGGTTACCAAAGTAGCTGCATTGATCTCCAGTCCGCCTACCCACGTTGTGAATTGATCTTAGGCGGACGAGATCAATCGGTAGTTGGGGCCGTAATGCAAATCGGCTTCAACGGGGATGACACCACACAAATATGCATAAAAGAAAATAAAATGAAAACTCAAAAGTTCAAGGTATCAAAGAAAAAGGTAACAAACTTTATGTCTAGTTGTTCGATACATAGGACCGCGTCTATCTCCCGACCTGTTCTATGGATTGTGACACGTTGTTTTCCGTTAGGCGAGTTTTAACGCTTCAAGTTGTTTGCTCTTTAAGAAATTGGTTTTTTAGTGTGTCTTCGGACGAAAGTCGAAAAAAAACTTATTTTGGTGGTCTGGATCTAAGTCGCTCTTCAAAATAATTGTTCTTGGATTGAAGAGGAGTCCGGAATTTGCGCGAATCTTGGTCAGCTATCTTCAACTGGAGACTGACTCTGGGAACTGTCTCGAACTCAACTCGAACTAAACTCAACTCGATTTCTGCTCGCTGCGGCTTCGCTTATATGGACGCCGACCAAACCCGGGGTGGGTTTGTCGGCGTCGGGGGTTCCTCGATAATTCTAATTACATATCCACCTCTCTGGTTAGGAATTTCCACTTTTTTTCCATTTTTGGGAGCCTTTTCTGACTCCCACCTTCTCACCATACTTCAGAGGGGCGTGAGCTGCCCTCCCCACTTCTTCGTAGCAGCTTCTCATACATATCCTCTGGATGGGCGGCGACAGCTTCCTTCGTGCGTCACGTGATCACCACTCGACCAATGATGTCTTAGTCGGGCGTGGACGAATCCGCAGCTTTGTTTCAGGAAAAAAAATATTTTGCTTAACTAAAAGAATTTATCTTTTCTTTTCCTTTTCTTCCTCTTAATCGCATTTATCATTTTCTCTAGCTGCAAACAGGACAAGACGGTGGTCATAACTCTTGTTCTACACCTGGACTTCGTCCGTCATCTTATCGCTAATTATCAGAATGTGTGGTCTTTTTAACACGGCCAGACGTCGCCCCAAAAAGAAACATTTCTAAGTTCCCATTCAATTCCGTTCGGTACATATTTCTGATAACATAATTTTATTATCGCAGGCCAAAGATGTTCTGTCGAAAGAAATCGGTCAGTGGACACATCGTGTGCGGTTTTTGACACAATAATTTTTCATATCTATCCAAAGCCCTTTAGTCCACCTGTTTTCCGTCACTTATCGAAATAACATTTTCATTTGGATTTTTCTTTGGCCAGCAGTTTGTTTACGCATCTCAGATAACACAGCCGTCCAAAAAACACACTCGATACCTTTATCCCTCAGAATTTCCCTGTCATTGTAATGACACTCTTTTCGCCATTTGTTACTTATCAAAATATCCTTTAACCATTGTCTCTTAGCCGTGGTGTTCTGCTTATCATCCACGTTTTGGGTCTCGCCTCTTTTTTTTTCCTTCTTTTCTTTCTTTTCTTTTTCTGCCTCGGTAAATGGTGCCACAGTAAGCACTAAGGCGTTAATAACATGTGCAGGCTTTTTTTTTACATTTCATAAGAAAGAAAGAAAGAAAGAAAGAAAGAAAAGGAAAAGCATTAGTAACCTTGAAACGAAGAAAAAAGAAAATAAAGACAGAAAACAAGGAAAAGACATGCGTAAAATAAAGATAGGACATGAAGAACGAAAAAAATTATTAAACAAAGCGTGTTTGAAAGAAAGACAAAAAAACAAAGAAAGAAAAGGCAGGCGTAAAGAAAGAAAAGAAAGGAAATATAAAATGAATAAAGAAAGCAAGAAAGAGAGAGAATGAAAGAAAAAGAAAGAAAGAAAAGAATAAAGGAATATTAAAAAAAAATCAAGCCTGAAACAATAAAATAGGAAAAAAAGACAGAAAACAAAGAAAGAAAAACACAGGTAATATAAAGTTAAAAGACAAGAAATGAAAAAAGAAGGAAAACATTATCAGAACAAAACAGGTTTGAAAGAAAAACAAAAGACAAAATCAAAGAAAGAAAATGAGAAAGTAAATAAAGAGAGAAAGGGAGAAAAACATTAAAAAAGAAAGAAAGAATGAAAATTATTAAAATCGTCAAGCTTGAGACAATGAAAATGAAAAATAGACATGCGTAAAATAACGATGGAAAAGAAGAAAATGAATAGAAACTTAACAAAGTATTAAAGAAAATAAGTTTGAAAGAAAGACAAAATGAAAAGAAAGAAAAATCAGTTGTACAGAAAGAAAACAAAGGAAAACATAATAAAATGATTAAGAGAAGAAAAAAAGAAAGAACGAAAGGCACGAAGGAAAAGAGAACAAATTAAAGAACGCACGCATGCGTGAAACAGCGAAAGAAAACAAAGAAAAACAATGAAGAAAAGACAAGTAAAATAAAGAACAAAGAAAGAAAAAGAAGGCGTAAAGAATGAAAAGAGAAGACAAGCCTGAAAGAGAGAAACGAATGAAGAAATGAATAAACTTATTTTTAAAAATGCAAGCTTATAAGAAAGAAAAAAAGAAAGAAGGAAAGAGAAACAACAAAGGAAAATGCAACACCAAAGAAAGAATACTATGAGAAGGAAAAAGAAAACAATTAAAACATGGCTTTAAAGCATTACCTCTACAATAAATAAATAAATAAACAACGTTGATGGTAAATAGAAATAAGAACCCGGAAAAAAGAATTAAAAAAAAACAAAAAAAAACAGGGTAAGGAGAACAGACACGGGAAACAACGAAATATCGGATAAAGAATAATGAATTAAAAGAAGGAAGAAAAATACTCAGAAAAGGCTGGGCAAACCAAAAAGCAATATAAACATATCATCGAGGGGATATCGAAAAAGCAGTAAACGAAATACTGTGTACGGCCACCTTGCGGGTAGGATTTCTGGAATCGTAATTGGTTTTTCAATCTGTAGTCGTTAAGCCTCACGGGTTAGCCACAAGGAAGGCGGGCAATGTAAATAAATACAGAAGGGTGCAAGAACAGCATAACGATTTTATAGCTTAGGATCTCTTTATACTAGGATTTTACACTAATTCTATTACCTGTTTGATATCGCGTGGAATAGAAGATAAGCGTGTCTGGGTTCAATTCCGGCCTGTGGTCTTTGCGTTCATATTCATAAATACGCCATTCGTCAGAGTACAAAAACGTCTGTTCTCTCCCAGATACGAATTCTGTCTGAAAAGTAACGAGTTTAGTGTGCCGTGAGAGCTCTGGGCATCGTCGACCGGGAGTTCTTGCCCTAGCGACAGACGATCGCTTAGTAAGTCTACAATGATATACTGCTGCATTTACTTCGCTCAGTGTGCGAGAAGAGACGAGTGTTGTGGCAGGAAGAATTTTGGCTGCTTCACCGGAATAATGCACCTGTGCACAACGCTCTGAACATACGTAAGTTCTATTGCGAGACGAACATCGCTGTACTGGAACAACCTCCCCATTCACCTGATCTTGTTTAGTGTGACTTCTTTCTATTCCCCAAGCTCAAGGGGAAAATCAAGGGGAACGCTTTTGATGGTATGGAGGCCAACAAGAGAGTCATAACGACTGTACTGAGGGGAATCCAAGATGAATCCTTCCAGCAGTGTATGGAAGTGTGACTGTTGTGAGTTTGTTAGGATCAGAAATAAATACACAGAGAGAAGAATTGACTTAAATACACATTAACAGTATCAGTAATACAAACTTATAGAAACGATAGTGTTACAGCAAGAATGTTCGGTCCGACCCCTGAGCTGAATGCTGGAAACGTCACTTTCCCAAAGGCAGTACCTGCTCCTATTTATAGCTGACATGGTCAATGAGTGCGTGGGTAAATTACCATAACAGTGGCATAGAAGGACATAAAAGTGCATTAGACTCGAGGGGTCTCACATTGATGGGGAAACCATGAAGTTTGTTGTTTGAAATTTAAATAAAATATTTGTGATACTAGTCTATTTACGCGTTATATAATTTTATATACCTTTTATATATCAAGAAACACTATTTAAATAAGTAGTATGACAAATTGTCAAAAAATTGTGACGCATTTTATCTGTTAGGATTTTCGTCGTACTGGGCCGTGTTTATGTTTACATGGAAGGTAATGCCTTATACGATTCTATTCCAAATCTTTTAAACGATTTTGAATGAAGAGTTTTCATTCTTCGTCCAGATTCACATGCACTATATATATATATATATATATATATATATATATATATATATATATATATATATATATATATATATGGCTCAATTATCTTCTCAGAAAAAAAAACTATTAAATAAGCGAGCAAAAGCAAATCCTACCCAATTTTTTTGCTACGTCGAAAACCGAAAAGAATATATATATAAAATTAAATTAAAAAAATCAAGGAAAAATAAATTAACCCAAGTAAATAAATAAATAAACATTCCACTCCCGTCCAAATTACCAACCATGCACCACTGACCCATATATATATATAAATAGGCGAGAAAAAATCCACCACTCGCGGCCTCTAACATGAAACAGCCTGTCGCCTCTGAGTGTTGATTTCAATGTTTACTTTCATATATATATATATATATATATATAAAAAGAGAGAGAGACAGAGAGACAGACAGACAGAAAGACGGACAGACACAGACAGAGAGAGAAAAAATTATTTTTTGCGTGGAAGAGGAAGCATAGTTGGATACATAGATACGAGTATGGAAATGGATTTCCGTTTGGATCTCGAACTATGGCAATCTAATCTTTAAACAATGACGGAAACAGATGCCATATAGCAATTGATTGGTGCTGAAATCCTCATATTAAACAGCTATCATGAAAGAAGATTTGATTCTCCGCCCACCACGCACTCTAGTGGTGGACATTCCAAGATGCACCGAGTAGTAGTAGATGTAATTACATGCTATCCTCCACAATGCATGTTATAACGTAAAGACAGTGAAAATATACTAAGAACGAATATATCTAAAATGGTTAATGAATTAGCCGAAAGCTCCTGGGGCAATATTCTCTCTTCATTGTTCCTATACTATTTTCTACCAAAAAGAAAAAAAAATCAATGGAAGAGCATTTGACTAGCTGAATAATAAATACAATTAAACTAATACATATAGTAAATCAAAAAGTATTTGAGGGTTGATGCTGTGAATCGTTATTTTTTGTGGTGGGGGCTCTATCTGCACAGATAGGTGAACACTTTTATATACCGCATAGATAGGCATAGATAGGGATTTGAATCTATTTTTTTTGTGGAGGGGTATTCTCAGAGAATTTTTCTTTTCTAAGCTTTCACGGTATTTGGTAGGTAGTCTGTTGATCGCAACTACATTTTTGTTTTGTTCCACACACACAAACACACACACACACACACATACATACGTCATGTGTAACGCCTATTTGGAACGAGGGCAAACAAAAAGAACGAGTCTGTCTATATTTCTGAGATGAGGCATCATAACCACTATTTACATTATTCGGACTATTGTCCTCATCTTTGTCGCCATATTTATCATAACGTTTCGGCCGTTGTACGCTCCGGCCTTCTTCAGGTGGTTGGAATGTCGAAATGAACCCTTTATTTCGCTCACTGGGGTAGACTGTTCTAGTTCCACGTGCCATGTATGATGGATATCAGTTATCAGTTATCTCCTGTTAATTTCCCTCTGAAAGTTCTCCACTGCCTTAACCGGGTATTGAACTCACAATCTTTGGGTCCTGTCCCTGGATCTAACCAACGCCTTTATTCACTGTACCGTGTGTCCTCAAGGACATCAAAGATGAGGACAATAGTCCGAATAATGTAAATAGGGAAAAAGAATGATATTCATATGCTATATATTTTCTTATTTTTTCAAAATACGACGATACTATGTATGTATATTGATTATATCATATGTTCTTCAAGATGTGGTATATATTTTATTTAATGTGAGCTATTTTAATTAATTATATATATATATATATATACATATATATATATGTGTGTGTGTGTGTGTGTGTATCTCTTTCTCTCTCTTCTCTCTCTCTCTCTCTCCATATATATATATATATATATATAGTATGACAAATTGGAAATAAATCTTTGTCACGCGTTTCATCCATTAGGATTTCATCGAACTGGGCTTTCTTGATGTTGACACGTCTACACATGCGCACGAATCATCAACAAAAGCCTAAACCGATAAAATCCTAACGGATGAATCGTGTCACAAAAACTTTATTTCCAATTTGTCATTATTTTTCTAACTACTGTTTGTTGGTATATGAAATTATATATTGTCATATCATGTGTGTGTGTGTGTTCCTGAAAAATATATGCTCCTGAAAAATTGATTTCGGTTGAGGTCTCTGGGAAATAAGTTTGAGTTTGTAAACAGTGCCTATTACTGCTAATGATTCAAGACTCTTTGGTAAAACGAGTCAAGATATCTTTGTCACTGTGTCTAAAAATAAATAACCTTAAATTCACTTTGATCAATACCGTGCGCCAACGACTTAGGGGAGAATCTCTGACTGACATCAATTCTGTCAGGGTTCTATCCTATTTTGAGACGACCGGACGTCTAGTCCCACCAATGTACTGTGATAGAGCGAAAGAGTCTCTAAGTGGATGACAATATATATATATATATATATATATAGATAGATAGATAGATAGATAGATAGATAGATAGGGAGAGACAGAGAGAGAGATTTCCCTCTCTGTTTGTCTGTCTGTCTGTCTGTCTCTCTCTCTCTCTCTCTCTCTCTATATATATATATATATATATATATATATCAATAAATATATATTGTCTTCCGTCGAAAGTACGACTCGTAGTTTCATGTTCAATACAATCTGCAGACATTTATAATGGCGATGAACTGCGTGTAAGGTTCTATGTATCTATTTTTAGTTCATTCATGTTTATATATATATATATATATATATATATATATATATATATATATATATATATTTAAGCGCTTCACACCAAGCAAGGCGAGAAGATACTAAGACGAAAGAGGTTACAAAAAACTTGGAGCAAAATCACATCGAAGTAATAGAGGAAAAGATGAGGAGATGAATAGTGGATAGATCAAGGCAACTGGTGATGTCGATTGACATTACATTTGAATAGCTGGAGATTATAGCTCTCAGGGAAACTGGAATAGAGAAGGGAGTTCCACAGGCTAGAGGTGCGAGAGGTGCGAGACATGAAGCTATTGGTTCAGAAGAGACGGCTGCATTTAGGAGTTTCGACATTTCACAAGAGTGAGAGCGGGATGCCAGCCTCATAGGGCGCTTGTACCCATGAAGTCTGGGAACCCGCGAATGCAGCTCCTCGGAAAGTATTATAGATCAAATGAGTAAATATAGGTAAAAGTAACAACGAGCGATCATAAGAATATATATATATATATATATATATATATATATGTATATATATATATATATATATATATATATATTTCTTAATAAATATACATAATAACTTACATTTATTGTACTCATTAAAATATGTGATATTATGTATATTTTTATATATATATATATATATATATATATATATATATATATATATATATATATATATAT